TTTAAAGCAACCAAACCAAATCAAACAAAAACGAGTAGTTGGAGTTAATTCACATTTTGGTGAAGGAAGCATGCACATGTCTGTTCTTTGGTGTGTGTTTATACTAGCCCATGCATGCACCATGCCTGCTCACACCTTCACCAATGTCCAGGGACACAGATGTGCAGTGCTCAGTGTGCACATAGCCTGCTTTTCCTCCCCACAGGTGTGCTGTGCATTTCCAGTCATTAGCCAGCCAGTTCTTAGAAGAGATGGTACAATGGCACCATTGAGTTCTTCCTTCTTCCTGTGGCCTGCTGGTGGTATCTGGGTTTTCTCTTTTCTGCCAGCAGCTCAGTGTCTTCCCTTCAGAGTCCTCTCTGCACATTCTCGTGACCTGTGAGGTGCTGGAAGAGATGCACACAGAACTGAATTAGAATTGTTTATTGACCATAGACTCAAAAATAATAGTTATTAGAAAATCGATTTTTTAACTATCATGATAGGTAAAAACATTTCATTGCTTGACTTTGTGAATCTTTAGCTTTTTGTGGACTTTTTCTTTATATTTTACTATGTCATTATCCTTCTGATTATTTTTTTCCCCACTGCTAAATATCAAGACCAGGGCCTTGTGCGTGCTAGGCAAGTACCCTACCTCTGAGCTATATCCCCAGCCCCCTCCCACCCCCTGGTGACTCTTTGATTCAACTATGAATAGTTTTTAAAAATCTACTGTAGTTGGTAGTGATGTATGCCTCTATGATCCATCCCATCACTTAGAAGGCCAAGGCAGGAAGATTGAGTTCATGGCCAACTACATTCTAAAAAATAAAAGAGAAGGTAATTAAGGGACCCCACTTAGTTCCCCCTCCCATGGGCACAACTGATGCAGTTCTGTCCACTAAGTACATATGCATGAGTAAAGTGTGCACATGTATTAATTCTAATGACTGACACATACATCTTCCTTTATGAAGAGCCTTCCTTAAGTTTCCACATGTGTGAAAGTGATTTTGTTTTAATTATTCTTTAGAACAGTGGCTGAGCTAGAACTAGAACTCTCAAAGTTAACACTTTGCTACGTTTGGTTTTAGTTCTTATTTTTTTATTTTGGGGGGCTATCCTTGAATTCAAAATCCTCCTGCCTCAGCCCACCAAGTGCTGGAATCACAAGTATGTGCACCAAGACTGGCTTCCTGCAACATTTTTTTAGACAAGTTTCACACATCTGAACAATCAGCTACCAGTCTGCTCTTGTGCCCTTAGTGGAGGGGTCTGTGTACACTGACCACTTCTGTTGTCTTTTTGTTTTGTGTTGCTGTGTCCATCTGGGTTCTGTTTGGTGTGTCCTGCCAAGAACCCATCTGTTTCTAATTTTAGGATTCATTGTTGATTGTTTTTCCATTCTTGAAAATTCAGCCAGGGCTGGGGAAAGGGCTCAGAAGTTAGCTCTACCTTAGTCTCCCCCTGTGCTGGGATTAAAACATTAGGTACTGAGTTTGGGGATGTATCTTAGTTGGTGGAATGCTTGCCTAGCATGTATGAAGGCCTGGGTTTTATCCTCAGCACCAAGGAAACTGGGTGTGGTGATGCAAACCTGTAATCCTAGCACTTGGGAGGTGGGGGAAGGAGGACCAGAAGTTCAAGGTCATCCTTAGCTGTATAGGGACTTCTTTCTAGGCCAGTTTGAGCTACCAAATCCAAGCCAGGCATGGTGGCACATGCCTTTAATCCCACCACTCGGGAGGCAGAGGCAGGCGGATCTCTGTGAGTTCAAGGCCAGCCTGGTCTACATAGTAAGTTCCAGGACAGCTGGGGCTAAAGGGAGACCCCGTCTCAAAAAAACCAAAAAAAAAAAAAAAAATTCAGGGGCTGGAAAGATGGCTCAGTGGTTGAGTAACTGGCTGCTCTTACAGAGGACTCAGGTTCAGTTCCCAGGACCCACATGATCGCTAACAGCCATCTGTAACTGCAGTTCCAGGGGCATGACAATTTACATGTAGACAACACGCATATGCATAAAATAAAAGATAAGTAAAAAAATTATTAAAAAAACAAAAATGAGGGCTAGAGAGATGGCTCAGTGGTTAAGAACACTGGCTGTTCTTGGAGAAGACAAGGGTTCGAATCCCAGCACCCTCATGGCAGCTAA